GAACCTCTACTTAGTGCCACCCAAGATTCGCTAGGGTCCTTACTTGACCACTCACTTTCCAAATCTTTTAAGGCTTCAGACACATCTAACGTACAGAGCATGGTTTGGTCTAGATGAGTCTGTAGGGTGACTAAAGAGTCATTAGTTATGGCCTTCTCATGAAATGGGGAGGGTATCTGGCCCACTTCACCATGAGTAGATGCAGCTATAACTTCCACCGGCCTCACATGTTTCCCGAGCTAGAAGCCTAGGAAGAAGGTACCCCTCCCTTAGGGGGTATCTTCTGCGTGACCTTTGCGTTCTTGCATTTGTACTGGGTGTGATCGTATTCACCATAGTTGATGCAAGCACCACGCACTCGGCGGTCCCGCCTCACTTCTTGATCAAGACATGCCTTAACCCAATCTGCTACTTTGGACTGATTGGAGGCGGTCTGCCCTTGACTCTTTTGATGGCCCTTCCCTCGGCCACTTGCCTTAGTCTTCACTACTGCGGCGAGGGTGCTACCCTCAACGGTTTCCTCGCCGTCGTACTCTGGACTGTCCATCAGGTCAGAAAGTTCATCGATCTGGGTTTGGGTCCCATCAGACTCAACCATCATCAATCGACTCCCCTTCTTTTTCCACTCCTGTGGACTCTTCTTCTTCCTCCTGTCTACTGGAGTAGGTTGAGCAATTCCTAGAGTAGCCTCTAAATCTAAGGCCTTTCTAGAGAAGGTCTCAAACGAATGATACTCGAGGCGAGCCTCGCTGGCTAGCAAATTTATGAGATTCTCGGACAGACATCTCAGAAACGTGGTCAATAAGACTTGGTCATCGTAGCGTATACCGAGAACAACGATGAGGCTCTCTACGGTAGACGTTAGCTCTCTGACTGACTTGTACTTCCTTTGGTCTAGTCTTAGCATCGCGTCAGTGACAATTTGTGCCTGCTGCGGATTGTGCCAACGAGCTTCTACCATATCAAAAAACTCTTCTAAAGTCAGGGTCTTACCCCAATCTGCCATGCGTCGTCCGAGCCCGGCCTTTGCTACTAATCCATCCATCCATTTGGCTGCCTTACCCTCCAGGTAAGATGGAACAGTAATCACCTCCTCCTCCTGCGAAGTCCTCTTTGCCCTTACCCACACTGGAACTGTTCTCAACCAAGTGTTGAGTTCCTCGTCCTTCTTCTCACCGGAGAAGGCAAGGGGCGGTTTCATTGGGGTCTTTGGGTACCATTGACCTTGCTGTTGTGCATGTGGTGGAACAGTTTGTTGCGGCTGTGGTGTAGCACCAGCCGCTGGACCAGAAGAAGAAGAAGTAACAGTCTGTGCGGCTGCTGCAGACGTACCACTTGGCTGTGTGCCAGCTTGTACCGGAAAGGGGCCTGACATCGCCGTTAACGGCAACGGCGACTGTGCTGCTGGCGTAATCCTGGCCTTTGCAAAAGGTCCAAGATTTGGTCCAAGGAGTTCCCTGTGCCCCAGGTGCATGCTTATGACCAGGCTTGCCCTTTCTTTATCCTCGCGTGCAACGAGCCGTACGTCCGACTGATCTGGGTAATCAAGAGGCCTATTTAAGGACTGCCCCCAAGGTCGCTCAGGAATTATTTAACGTCGCAAATCAGGACGACGATCACAACCAGTTGTCAGATCGGAACCGCATCCAGAAATGTTTATAGACGGTCTGGGAGCGTCTGCATAAGTCTGATCAGTCCGCACACCCCTCTATCAGCGCAGCAAAAGTGCCCTCATGGACAAAGCAGCCATCGCATGCGTGTACTAATCCCATTGGGTTGGCATGGTGACTGTGACCCACGTGCTTCGACCAGGGCCCTTCAGAGGCACCGCCCTTTCTCCTTCCAGATGCGCCACCGGGAAGATTGTCGTCTCTCAAGGTAGAGCGCTCACGACACCTCACCAAAAGAGAGGACTCTCAAGCTGGACTCACTTCCTCGTGGTAAGAAGAGATTGAGAGGGTAGATAAGGTAAGGGAACAACGTACCTGGAGATAGCTGCCCCCAACCACAAATTTCTCACCAATTGAGTTGAGTGTGCATTTGATGACCGGTCGTAGCCTCGGTACCACCCACAACGCAATGCAATGCCACCTTAGCCAAATGCCACGTCAGCATGCTCTCATCACCAATCATACATTCCGCCGTCACCACGACATCCCAAGCCGTACAGCCTTCCGGCGCACACCTCTCTACCCAGGTCGTGAGCCAAATATGGCTTGACGTCACAAGAACCAACTGCGAAGAAGCATCGTCAATGCACCAAGTCTGTATAACGCCAGCGCACCAAGGTAAGTGGCGAATCGAACCAGCTCCGATACCAAAATGCAAGGAACATGAATGTGGACGAAGCATAGAAATCCAAATAGCAAAATCACACTGAAGTCCCAAGTAGTCAAAGCAAGAGCAGATAGCACAATGGAACCGAGTAACCATCCATTTGAGAACGATACAGAAGAATCGTGAGTCAATGTCCAAGCCCAATCGGGCAACACCAACAGCATAACCCAATGTAGCTCTCTCTCTTGAATGACGCCAGGCGCCCTATCTACTCTAACTACAGCATGACGACCAGCGAGTGATGACGTCAACACCAATGCCGACCTCCCTCTCCACCAGGTACGTCTCTCTCTTCACCCTCACTCTCCCTTGTTATCCCACACAGTGCCCTTCACTTCCCGAAGAACCACCTTCGCCCTCAACCTCCCTCTGCGCCCACAGGCAGCCCGGCTATGGCCGCCAGCGCCCTGCGCCCAGGCTGCGCTCTACCGCTTAGCGCCAGCCTGCCTCTCTCAGCCACTGCGCAGCGCAAGTGCTAGCGCTACAATGCAGCAGCGTGCCCGCAATGCCTGCATTGGCCAAGATCCCCTGCCCAGCCGCATGCTCTGCCTATATGCCCAGCAGTGCGAGTGCGGCCTCGTTTCAGCCTGTGCCTGGGTCCCGGTAGCTGTGCCCAGACCCAATGGAGATAAGGGCCCAGGCCGTACAGTTGTGCCTCTTTCATCAAGGCCCTTGTCCAGATTCAGATAGTGGGCCGGTTTCCCACTGGCATTTTCGGCCTCTATGTCCAGAATGCAATGTCAGCCTCACGTTTATGCGCCCAGTGCCTAACTGATTCTGAGGCCCTGGTCCTTCTGCATTTGCAGGGATCTGGTACTCGGTGCACTCCAACCAACTGGCGGGCGGCAACTGTCTGGACCCCACTTCGTGAAATGTTGCAGAAAGGCCTCTCGTTGATTTGCTGGCCCGCCTTCACTTAGGGCGGGCACTAGGCTTGCTGGGGGCCTTAGCCCAGAACATGTACATCACGGCAAGGCCCCTTTGAGGGCTCAAACCTCACACTCAATAGACACGCGGTTAATGGAAGGCCCAAAATTCGGGGTTTTTCGCCGCATCACTACAAGCATTTCGGTGAAATATTCGCCGAAAATAGCACCACCCATTAACCATGAGTGAGAGAATGTTCTCAATCTTCAAAATGAGTATCGTAGTCAAAGAAATTGGTGAACAATCGCGAAAAAAACAACAACAAAAAGGTACCAAAAGAATGCTTCAGTTACATCAATTTGCATATTTGGCACTATGTATTTCATGATTTCACGCAATTCCTTTGGTTATGTGTATTTTATTTGAGTTTTTATGTGGTACTATGTAATGATGGATTACTGAAAATATGTCGAATTCTCAAATTACGAAAACAATTCACCTAATCTATCGGTTCTCTAATTTTCAGATTTTTTTGTGAATTCTTCCGAGCCTGAAAAATCACCGAAGTTGGCACTTGAAAATTGTGGGACTGGACCCGCCTGTGCCTACCAGTCGCCACCCTCCCTAAAAACCCGGTCCGCAGGGCCAGGAAAGCCGAATTTAAGCCGGCGTGGGGAGTGGTGGGTTTAACAAAGATAGAAGTAAAGGAAGGGAATGGACTGCATGGCAAGGGTGGCATTGCATCACTGTCAAACCACAATGGGTAGAAGGGAGATAGACGAAGTTAAAGGGAGAAATGAGGAAAAGGGGCTTGTAGCATATACCACAAGTGGGATGAGGGGATGAGAGAACAAGAAAAAGAAGTAGGACGAAGAGGACAGTCGATATTTACAGCCATGACAGCCTTCATGTCTCAAATCCATCTGACGTATACTGTATAGCAGAACTATCAATACCTAGGTGTTAACATACACTGAAACACAAGCACTGCCTTTTATTCATCACATCTCACTTCACCCGCGCATCTCACATTCTACATTGCCTATATCTCAAACACTGCCCCACACACATACACACACTGACCACCACAAACAATTCGCTTCATCAACCCAAATAGTTGCAGGATAATCTCACAGCTTGACACAGACATATACAGGTTGAAACACAGCAACCTTTATCCACAGTCGTCTGGCCCGTGTTCCACATACTGCAAGCAAACCCCAACAGGCACATCTATCGGCAACTGTTCTTTTTTCATAAGCACACTGCAAATATGACAACTGGTAGCGCAGAACTACGGCTGCAATTGATGAATATAAACTGGAAAGTTGGTCTTGATTACCAGCATGTAAGCTTAAGATGTACAGGGACGCTGGACCCGTTTTCCAGCAGGTGTTGCTCCCCACCAATAGATGGAGCCGTAGACGCAAAACAAAAAGAAAAAAGAAGAAGTATTTTGGAGTAATAAGTGTTATTTAAAGAGAATAATATTATAATAATCTTCAGAAGCCGGCATACTCTTATGGTTGTTTGTGTGCTAGTTCGTTCTACAGCGCCAAGAGGAGGGTATGTACCTAGACTTCGTTTCTCAGCCAGACCCCTCTGGTGATAGAACCACAACTCCTGTTGTAAAGAACTGTTGCAGAATTGCTGCCCCCTTTGACTGATCTAACCCGCCTTGACACCCCTTGGGAATGGACTAAGCAGTGTGAGTGGGCTTTCAAGCATTCCCAAAGATTGCGGATCCCGATAAGCATAAATCTTTAGTGAGTGACAGAGATGTGTGTCTCACTAGTGAACTATGACAAAATACTCCACAGCAGAGGGGCTACTGAAAATGACTTCCGAAAGTCGACCAGAAACAAATGGACAGGCTGAGCCGGATTGTACAACAATTGCTGAGGCACTACATTAAGCTTAATCAGATTGATTGGGATGACAAGCTACCCCCTTGTAGCTTGTCTATACAATAATGGAGTGCATTCAACTATTGGCCGGTTACATAATGAGCTGCATTTGGGATGGAAGCCTAGGACACTGTCAGACTTTCTGTTACCTGAATTGAAATCTGGATCCGCATGAGGTAGCATCACAAACAGGATTCAGTTTGGTGGTTCTCAAGGGAGGAGGTGTTAAACCACCAGTACTTGGCCCAGCTATCGACGCCGAGCCTGGAATGCCCCTGCGCTCCTATTTTTGCCGAAGCGCCGGGGTACCGTTTCAATTTTCTTTTGGCTGGCGCTTCCAGCCATTGTGGTCCGGTACCCTGAAACCCTAAAGGCGCGGCGCGTTAACGGGGAAGCGCCGCGGGCCGATAGCTGGGCCAAGTACTGTTGGATTAATGACCGCACCTCAGATTGTCAATCAATGCGGGCGTGCTTTAAAAGGGAAGCAACGGCTGGATTGATGGGTACTCAGAGGGCTTCTGAACCTGAGGGGGGGAATGCGAGAATTCAAGTCTTTGGCTAGCCAGAAAGGGCCCTCCCCGCCTAAGTGAAGGCGGGCCAGTAAAAGTGCAGCTGGCCCTTAGAAAGGTCGATGTGAACAGAGGGGGCCCTGAGTAGTTGCCAGCACGCATGCAGCATCTTCTGTAACTAACTGGTAGGCCCGGCCCCCCTTGAGTCGGTTGCAGATGCTGTGCCTGTGTACTCCTCCGGAAGTGCCGGGGCGCAGGAAAATGGGACCTGCACACAGCCTTCCTTTCCAGCCTAGCCAGCACAAAAGAGAGGAGGCCGCCCAGACTCACACATTCGTGCGTTGTGCCAATGCGGCAGCGCTGCTCCAAATGCTCCAGGCATACCGGCCTGGTAGAAATCTAGGCCGCTATTCCACTTCATCTAACTGCTAAAACATGTTGAATGACCTACATGCAGGGAAATAAGCAATGGCAACAAAGATAAACCATAGGTCATTCAGGGAAATACGTAATGGCAACAAAGATAAACCAGATTGCGACATCTCACAGAAGACTTGACATAATTTTTTAGCCCAAACGACACACCAAAATAATGAGCAATACACCAAGGTCTCTTGATAAGGAAAGCCCTTCCAACGCCTCCAATCGTCAAAGCAACAAATGTACCTCTCCTACTGGTGTCCTTAGGAGAAGAGGTTAACCGGCCTCCCATTTTTCACCTCAATTTATAAGAAAACCATAAGGCCATTTTAAGCAAACTTCATACCAATGTATAGAGTGCACTTCTTACTAACATTCAGGATCATTCATCGTTACCTAGGGGCGAAAAGTGGGGGTCCCTGTTAACCACTTATGGTCCTTAGTGCCCAGTCTACTTCCCATTTCTCCTGTACATCTATCCTGTCTTCAAGTTAGCAATCTGGTGACGTGTCACACGTCCAATGCCGCTTGAAAAGACTCCGATAGAATAGCCTAGCCTCCCTTCGTCATCAGCACCAGGTACGAGCCTCGTTCTCATCGCCTCCCTTCTCTGTCCTTCTCCCTTCTTCCACTAAGGCGAGGACCTCCAACACTTCCACCTTCTGGCTATGGACCACTCAGCCCCGCTATGGCTGGCGCTCTCCTGCTCCTTCCTTGCTGCCACCACAGCAGCTTCCCCACAGGCACATACCTCAGAGGGTCGCATTGTCTGATGTGAGTTCGGGCTGTACAAAAGGCAATTGTTTGTTGGGAAAAAAATAAAATTTCTTTAGCACAGGAAGAGGCGACTGATGAAATTGCTGTTTCCGTTCCTCCTCTCCACCCTTGTCTGTATCGAAATCTCCCGTCTGTTGCAGTTTACACCTCTCATTTCAGATTTCTATATTAGGTCTTTTGTTGAAGACCACACTTCTTCAGCCCTCGTGTTCCTTTGTGGACTCGTTTTAGTTG